ATATATTTAGGACTGCAGGCAAGAATGTATATATTTAGGACTGCAGGCAAGAATGTATATATTTAGGACGGCAGGCAAGAATGTATATATTTAGGACTGCAGGCAAGAATATATATATTTAGGACGGCAGGCAAGAATGTATATATTTAGGACTGCAGGCAACTATAATTGTGAATATTTTTGGAAAATGTTCAAATTTTGTATGCAAGTTTATTTGTCAGTAAAACATGAACTTTACCTGCTACTGGGGTTTCCATTTCCGGTGGTAAAGGATCATACGTGATCACAATTTTTTTTAACAACATAATATACATTATAGTAATTCAATATGTAAAGGGAGAATTAAATTCGGGCGAAAGTAGATTTTACTATCAAAAGGGGATAATTTGACTGGGCGAAAACTTCTTGGTGTATACAGTAAGTGTAAAAAGCGATTCTTCGGTCATCACTGTGCTGAAAAGGCAACATTACAGAACAAAGAACAATGTCTGTCCAACTCCTAAACCACTCCAGATTTAAAGCTTAAAAAACTGTATTTTAAATACATACAATATATATAGGTGTCAACCTCTGAAACCTCCAATGAGGGAGATAGGGAGAGTGTACTTGAAGCATAACTGAATTAAACTGCTTTGCTCAATTTGTCTTTCCCTTTTTATGAATCAAAATAACTCCAAAATACATTCATTTAATGCAGACACACATGTTATGATCATTTCACACACCCTGCAGTAACTATAGGAGATCATTTGACTACAGGATGTAGATTTTGAGTTTGTGCGAGTTTGGACTTGAATGAGGGGGTTTGGAGGAAGATTGGGAAATTTTTGGTCAAATAAGAGAGTCTCCCTCCTAATGAGGGAGGTTTGACAGCTATGGGTAAATTGTTTCCCATTTTCATTTTGCAATTACCACTGATATATATTAAGGACCACAGGTATATATAGAACTTCGGGCTGAAGACGTCACAGCTTACCTGGGCTGTGGGTGTAGCATCGTCGTAAAGTAAGGTAATTTACTAATCTCCCATTGTTTGTTTCATCTTTGCAGGCATTGGTAAATTTACACAGGTGCACGAAGGTACCTACAAGGACAACAAGGCCGTGGCAGTAAAGTTTCTGAGAATGGGAACCTCTCCCCAACAGTTGTATAACTGTCTCGAGGTATAGTACCCTTCCTTCTCAACAGGAAACATTTCCAACGAACAGGATGAAGGAATATTGGAGGGATTGCCGCTATATACACAGTCAAACCTCGTTATCTCGAACTCTTTTAACTCGAAGACCCCCTATATCTCGAAGTATTTATCCGGTCCCGGCCAGGTCTCTTCCTTATCCTAGTAAATACAACTCTGATAATTCGAACCCTGAAAAGTCGAAAAACTTGGATACCTCGAAGTAAGATATTGGTTTCAACACTGTAAATCCAACATCAAAACATCGTCTTCTTCATTGTGTTCAAATTTCATTTTGTCACTTATTAATTATTTGATACAAATAATACGCAGCAGTAAGACATCTCGCCATTCCGTGTTAATGAACAGCTTTCGCCAGTAGACTATGTATATGTCTATTCATGCAGCTTAGAGGTCAAAATAATGAGGTCAAATTTTACCTTCTTTTCTAGTAAAGTAGGTTAAAGGTCAAAATTGTGAGGTCAAATTCTACATTCCTTTCTAGTAAAGTAGCTAGGTTAGAGGTCAAAATTGTGAGGTCAAATTTTACATTCCTTTCTAGTAAAGTAAGTTAGAGGTCAAAATTGTGAGGTCAAATTTTATATTCCTTTCTAGTAAAGTAGGTTAAAGGTCAAAATTGTGAGGTCAAATTTTATATTCCTTTCTAGTAAAGTAGGTTAGAGGTCAAAATTGTGAGGTCAAATTCTACATTCCTTTCTAGTAAAGTACCAGTAGGTTAAAGGTCAAAATTATGAGGTCAAATTCTATTCCTTTCTATTTAGTATTTCTTTATAGATAAATAATATTGTAGGGATTGATGCCTGGTGTCCCGTTATGTTATGTAAGGCCAAAGTGCCAAAGTTAAAAAGCAAAAACATTTTCATGGTTTCTGAGCTTATTCTGGTAGTTGGAATGAGAGAAAAATACTCTTTTATACTCAGGGGTGTAGGATAGGGACGAGTTTGTTGTAAGCTAGTTAAGACTGGATTGCTGCTGCGGAAATATCATGGTATATGATCAGTTCTAATAACAAATTAGTACTCTGCTGGTATTCTTGGCGTGTGTATGACTATGCCCATCAAAATCGTCATGGACTACGCCAAGGAGGGATCACTGTCGCACTTCTTCGCCAATTATTTCAGTACAATATTATTATAAAACTTCCCCAAACACCCTAATGAATTACTAAATATAATTTGACAGAGACAACATTATTAACATGATTGATACACTGAAAGTGAACAAAACATGGCTTTAAGTTTAGCTAGGAGTGTTTATCTTCAGTGCTGTTAATATTAAAATGCAGACCTTGATATATTTTGTGTGCTTAACTAGTCTAAAATAATTCACTTCCATTGCCAAAATACTATTGCTATTCTTAGCCTCATGAATACAGAAATAAAATGCATACATTTCAGCCTTTCCTCTATGCCCTGCGTCAACAAATGAAATTTCGGGAAGTTGAGGAGCCTGCCTTCTTTGCTGGTATTCTTGGCGTGTGTATGACTATGCCCATCAAAATCGTCATGGACTACGCCAAGGAGGGATCACTGTCTCACTTCTTCGCCAATCGGCAAACGGACCAGCCAATTTACCTCCGCCATCTTGTTTATGCAGCCACACAAGTTGCACAAGGACTCTTTCAGCTGGTGAGTATCTTAAGCTGTAGTTCCACTTATTAGTATGTCTAGGAACCTGCGTTGGAGATGTTTAGTAAATATGCCTGTCCCTCCATCTACACTTTAATAAACATGTCTGTCTGTTTGTCCATTTGTCTGTCCCTCCATCTACCCTTTAGTAAACATGTCTGTCTGTTTGTCCATATGTCTGTCCTTCCAACAACCCTTTAGTGAACATGTCTGTCTGTTTGTCCATTTGTCTGTCCTTCCACCAACCCTTTAGTGAACATGTCTGTCTGTTTGTCCATATCAACCCTTTAGTGAACATGCCTGTCTGTTTGTCCATTTGTCTGTCCTTCCACCAACCCTTTAATAAACATGTCTGTCAATTCATCCATTTGTCTGTCCATCCCTCTACTCTTCCCTTTACGAAAATAATCTCAGTATAAAAAGGGCTGATCTTTTTAAAATTTGATATGGTGATACACTGGGATGTTAAACATTTCTGAGCTCAAGGTAACTTTCACTGAAAATAGACTATGGGAATATTTGTTCCTGACCTCCGAATGCAAATGACTAATCTTTTTGAAAAATGACATTGGGCAAACACTGTCATATTTAGATTTTCAAGTATAATTGTTTGTGGTAAGGAATGTCTAAGGTCAATGTCAAGATCACTGTTTCTAAAATGACCTGGGGGTGGGGGTGGGGGNGTTTATTCTTATATCAGAATCCAAATGACTTATAATCTATTTGAAATTTGACATGGTGATACTTATACATACAATAGGTATTTAAAAAGTTCTAAGGTCAATGTCAGGATCCCTGTTACTAAAAAAAGACCTTGGGGGTACGGTAATTATATAAGGCACAGGGGGGAGGGTTTAGGGGTTTGGGATATTATCCTTATCTCAGAATCCAAAAGACTGATTCTTTTGAAATTTGACATGGTGATACACAGTGATATTAGATGTGCCATAGGGATTTAAAGAGTTCTTAAGGTCAATGTCAAGATCACTGTTACTAAAAATAGACCTGGGGGGTACGGTAAGGTACATGCTGGGGCCCCCCTAACTGACCTGTCAGTGTTCGATTTGTTCTTCCAAATGTTTCTGTGAGCAAATGTGACATTCTCAAATGTAACCTACTTGCTGAAACTTGTGTGTGCTATTTTGAGAATAAACCTATTCACATAAACTTATCAATATTCAGGAGGAAAGAAAACTCCATCATGGCAATATTTGCTGTCAGAACATTCTGGTATACCGTTACGACATGAGTGAGATCCTCGTCAAGATCGGAGATCCTGGCATGATACAGGTGTATGAATCTCCATTGATGGTTAACAACGAAAAGGTCAACAAGAAGAGGTAGGTACAGCATGGCAAAACATTTCCCAATGCTAGAGGGGAGACCAACAAGACTGGTAAACAAGGGGTCCTGGGTTTGAACCTTAATGGGAGGCATTGAAAAAATAATAGTTACCTTTGTTACAATGCTACCCAACATGGGCCCCAGTATATATTGACAAAGGCTATGCGATACTTTCACAAGAAACACTGAAAACTAAGGATGAATTCTTTCCTGGAGGTGGAGCATATCACCCAGGTCCTTCAACAAGTGCTGGTTGGTTACTTTGATTTAACTCGACCAACGGTAAAATTGTTAATGTCCAGAAGAAGGGTCTGCAGACATTTAGGAATGTGAAACCCTTTAGTTTGGACTTTTCTGTCTCTATTCTAAGACGTGGCCTCTAATGTCAGGTGATGTACTGGTAGACCATATTTGGCTACCGTTGAAACGATACACATACCTCACGATACAGTACATATCGTGATACGATGCTTAAGATACGATACGTATCACGATACAAATATCTGCTTAGAAGGTAAAAAAGAAATAACTTTATAATGATGGAGCACTGGATTTTATTGAATGATATCATAGACGTCAATAGTAAATACTATCGAAATAAAGTTTTGTGTAATTTCTAGTATTTTGGGTATGACTTCACAGTGCACTACATATTTACTGTAAACTCAATTTTGAAAAAAAAATAGTTAAACAAAATGTTGTATTTTTAGAGTTAAGGAATATAATAAATAAAGTGTTCGATAGTTTCAAGTTGAATGTCAAGTGAAACATATTTTGCTTATATTGCATACTTTTACAGTTGTGCTAATTCAATGTTATATGTATGGTTATAAACGTATATAGAGGATCTGTCATAAGTTTCCCTTCATATTAGATTTATGATACAAGTTTTGGATTTTTAGCTCACCTGGCCCAAAGGGCCAAGTGAGCTTATCCCATGGTGCAGCGTCCGGCGTCCGGCGTCCGGAAACTTTTTCCTTTAAAATGCTACTTGTCCTGAATGGCTCAGAGGATTTTGACCATATTTGGTCAGGAGCATCATTGGCCAAAGGGTTCTCAGTTTTGTATAAACGGAGGGTATAACCCCCCTGGGGGCAGAGGGGCGGGGCCAAATAGGGAGAAAATAGGTAAATCTTTAAAAATCTTCTTCTTCTCAACCAATAGAAGGATTTTGACCAAATTTGTCCTAGAGCATCTTTGGACAAAGGAGACTCAATTTTGTATAAACGGAGGGTGTGGCCCCTCTGGGGGCGGAGGGGCGGGGCCCAATAGGGGAAATAGAGGATTTTTTTTCTCCTGCTATACAAGTGAAGGGATTTTAACCAAATGCAGTCTGAAGCATGATTAGGGACAAAAGAATCAATTTTGTATAAACTGAGGTGTGTGGGCCTCCTTCTAAGGGCAGATGGGTGGGGCCCATTAGGGGAAATAGAGGAAAACATCAAATATCCTTCTCCTTTTGTACCGATGAAGGGATTTTGACCAAATTTGGTCTGGAGCATCATTGGCCAAAGGGTTCTCAGTTTTGTATGAACGGAGGGTATGGTCCCCCTGGGGGCAGAGGGACGGGGCCAAATAGGGGAAAATAGGTAAATCTTTAAAAATCTTCTCCTCAACCAATTGAAGGATTTTGACCAAATTTGTCCTAGAGCATCTTTGGACAAAGGAGACTCAAGTTTGTATAAACGGAGGGTGTGGGCCTTCTGGCGGCATAGGAGCGGGGCCCAATAGGGGAAATAGAGGATTTTTTTTCTCCTACTATACAAGTGAAGGGATTTAAACCAAATGCAGTCTGAAGCATGCTTAGGGAGAAAAGAATCAATTTTGTTTAAACTGAGGTGTGTGGATTCCCCTTCTTTGGGGCAGATTAGTGGGGCCCATTAGGGGAAATAGAGGAAAACATTAAAGATCCTTCTCCTTCTGTACCGTTGAAGGGATTTTAACCTAACCAAACTTGTTTTAGAGAATCTTTGGGCAAAGGGAATTGAATATTTATAAATGGAAGATGCAACTTTGTTACTTGTACTCCTTTGATAAACCTGAATGGTACTCAGCAGGTTTTAAATTGAAAAATAAAATACCAGGTGAGCTATTAAGGCCCCTGGGCCTCTTGTTCATGTTTACAAGCCTGTGGCGAGCATATATTAAAAATTCAAAACGAGTATCATACTGATACATGTAAATCAAATATGACGAGAAACGAATGACAGATTATTTTTATCATATAATACAAAGTAAACCGTATAATTGTGATCTGAAACAAATATTTTGCACTTGACCACCTCTGAAACAATGAAAATGGCGTCCGCTTCACAATGACGAGACGTCACATTGATTGTTCCTATTCGATTGTGATGTCATTTCCGGATTGATATTTATACACACATACATAAACATAATTTATGTGATGGCTTTATGACACTGCATAACACGGTTTTCATATATGATAAATGGTATTATTGATATATGTATGAGGAAACACTACGATAAATTTCGTTTTTTAAATTTATTTTTTTGCAATAGATGTATCTGATTTATATCCTATAAAGACTTCCATGGATTGCACCAGAACTGCTTGACAAAGATAAACAACACAGAGCGAACATGAAATCGGACATATTCGCTTTTGGCACGACGGTGTGGGAAATGTTCGCGCTGGGAGAAAACCCTATTGATAAACCACCTTTATCGTCAGTCTCATTTGAAGAAGTAAGTTGGTCAGAATTTTGACATTTTTGTGTCGCCTGCAATGCGAGGCGACATAATTATAGGTATTACTTTTTCGGCGTCGGTTGCGTCGTACAAAACAAGGTTTCCATTGGATTGATTGAACTCAAACTTGATACACATAATGCATACCAATATAGCTTGGACGAGTCTGAATTTCAGAAGTTTACATTCATTTTTGGTGGAGTTATGCCCCTTTTATTGCCAAATAAGGGCATTGTGTAGTAAATGCAAGAACTTTTTTATTTTTTAATCAATTCCTTTCAAATTTTGTACGGTAATGCTAGAAGCAATAATGTTCAACATATATTACAGGTTTTTATTGTCGAGTTTCAACGTTCCGCGTTTTGGCATATCACACTTGACATAGCAAGCCAAAACACTTTTCTCACTGAAAGCGCTGACCAGGAGACACATTCACTCCTGTGGAATTCTTGTTTACGTAGGTGTCAACCTCTGAAACCTCCAATGAGGGAGATCTCCCTCATTCCACATTTCTAATGAGGGAGAAAGTGTATAAAACGCGACTGAAACTGCTGTGCTCAATATATCAAAATAACTACAAAAAGCATTCATTTGATTCAGAAACACCTCTTATGATAAATACACACACCCTGCAGTAACTAGGTGATCATTTGACCACAGGACGTAGATTTTGAGTTTGTGTGAGTTTGGACTTGAATGAGGGAGTAACGAGGATGATTGGTAAATTTTGTTCAAAATGAGGGAGTCTCCCTCCAGATGAGGGAGGGTTGACAGCTATGGGAGGGAGGCTCCCTCCAGATGAGGGAGGGTTGACAGCTATGGGAGGGAGTCTCCCTCCAGATGAGGGAGGGTTGACAGCTATGTTTTGTCATACCCGAACCTTCTTTGGCAAGTTTTCTGTATGCATTATTACTGTAAATGTTTGGCTGACTGAAAAAATATGATATATATATACATTATCATTTTATAGTAAAAATGCTTAGGGCAATTTCAAATGGTGGTCTTAGATAGGTGGTCACTATAAACAGGTATCCTAGATAGGTGGTCGCTATAGACAGGTATCTTTGGCAGGTTTGAACACGTTAAAATAAAAAGATAATTTTTACTGGGTACTTATTTAATATTGACCCTATTTTTTTCAGACATAAAACAGAAACCAAACAAACATTTTTGGCCTTTAACCGTCAAACAGATTTTTCTTTTTAAAAAAAACGAAATATCACATCAAGTTAAATAAAAATTATGAATATTCAGCCTTTTTCATTTTAAAATAAATTGTGTTTCACTAGATTTCACATAAACTGATACAACATTTTGATTTGGGGGGGGGGGGGGTCAACATCGTCCGTAACGTTTATTTTCCTTCAGTTACAAGAATATTATAAATAGATTTTTGTCAAAACGTGTGAACAGAAGTTGTTTTGTAAAAAGTTTATTGTAGCTTCAATTGATATTTACATTTTAGCAAAAGAACTTATGCCGGTCAGATAAGAGCAAATTACCCCCCACTGAAGGGTTGAAGTTATTTGACACAGACTCGATCCACATCAAAAAGTGTAAGAAGGCTATGTTGGAGCTGATCATGAGGTGCCGGGTTTTCTGCCCTGACGATCGCCCTACGGCCAAGGAGCTTGTTCGTGATCTCAACACTTTGACCGCTTCCTATGGTAAGTGTTTGTTTCTGCTCATCTGTCACCCAGGTAAAATATAAGCCACTTCCTACCAATTTGGCAAGGGAGAAGTTCACTTTCGCTAATTTGGTACAGTGTAAGACTAGTAAACCAGAGGTCCTGGGTTCGAACCTTAACTCATTCACCCCTGAAATTTCATAATGAATTATTCCAAAATTTGAATTGGAAGAATTCAAATGCGTCTTCAGGAGTGAATGAGTTAATGGGAGGCATTGAAAAAATAATTACCTTTGTTACAATGCTACCCAACACAGGCTCCAGGATATGTTGACAAAAAGGCAGCAATACTTTCACAAGAAACACTGAAAACTCCGGACAAATTCTTTCCTAGAGGTGGAGCATATCACCCTGGTAAAGTACTAGTAGCTTCCTACCGAATAGGCTAGTGAGAATTGCAATCCAACAAGTGCTGGAATTAACCCTTTCACCCCTCGGCCTATAGACCATAATGGACTCATCCAGGTGAATGTATGGTAGAGTCTACCCAAGTTACCTAGGGGTGAAAGGGTTAAGAACCTAGTGGTTGTGGGAAAAAATAAACTTAATTCTTTTACAGTATAAAAAGGTAAAATTTCAGAAACTTCCCAGTAGGCAACATATTTTACTTTTATAATTCATTTCAACAGCTAACGAATACCATGACTACGATAAAATTCCGGACGATGATTATCCATTATGGTCCGATGCTGAAACTTCAGGAATATCACCTGATGCTGATAGTGATGAGGAAGTTCCAGATATACTACACAGCTTTCCGACACCACATGTACCCAGCATTCCTGATGAACAGTCAAGACGCCTAGGTAAGGTATTTAGAGTCCAGAACAGGTAAAAGATTCATGGTTTAAAACAGAAAAAATAATGACGGTTTTCAACAAGAAAAATATTGATGGTTTGGTTTTTAACAAATAAATTTTGAACGATTCCAACAGGATTTGTTTGGCTATTGTATTTCATTTTTTTTTGCAAATTAAAAAAAAATGAATTTGAGTTTGCTTTACAGTTATAGAGAGACCCATGCCTTCCGTACCTGACTTGGAACTGACGAATCCAAGGCCACCTATTCCCACACAAGCGCCGTCTCAACACGGCCGTCCTCCTTCTAGGCCCCTACCACAGCCTATAACAGATCATTCAACCAGGCCCCTACCACAGCCTATAACAGATCATCCAACCTGGATTAGAAGCAACCGATTGGAGATCTCGCGGGAAATTATTGGAGAGGTACTTAAATGAACTGTTCATGATAATCACAGAATTTAACAGATTATAAACCTGTGATTCAATTTCTGCAAATGTATATTTCAATTATTCAACAGATAAATATTTACTGATTCAACTAATTCATAATTCACTGATTCAACTGATCTCCACAATTCAACATATATCATTATAATATCGTAACTCAAATATTTAATACTTATTTACGGTATACTGGGGATTATTCAGTATAATATGGCCGCCATGACCTATAAAGTGATTTTTGTTACCTTTTTAGCTCACTTGGTCTGAAGTACCATAGTGAGCTTATGCCGTGGCGCAGCGTCTGTCGTCCATCGTCAACTTTTTCTTTAAAACCTATCTCCTCCTAAACCAGAGAGAGGATTTCAACCAAATTTAGTCTGAAGCATCACTAGGGGAGCGCAATCATTTCTAAAATAAATGAGGTTGTTTTTTTTACCCCTGGGGCCAGGGGGGGGGTGCAGGGCCCTGAAGGGGAACTTAGCCAAATTTGCTTTAAAATGCATCTCCTCCTAAACGCCAGTGAGAATTCCAACCAAATTCAGTCTGAAGCATCACTAGGGGATGGCAATCATTTCTTAAATAAATGAGGTTGGTTCGACCCCTGAGGCCATGCAGGGGGGCGGGGTCCTGAAGGGGAATTTAGCTAAAATTTTGCTTTAAAACGCATCTCCTCCTAAACCCCAGAGACGAGTTTAACCAAATTTGCTCTGAAATTTCATTGGGGGAGAGCAATCATTTCCTAAAAAAATGAGTCTTGTTCGATCCCTGGGGCTAGGAAGACCGGGCCCCAAAGAGGAAAATTATCTAATATTTTGCTTTAAGACGCTAATACCCATTAATTGCCTGAGTGGATTGTGCAAAATTTGGTCAAGAACAAACATTTCTTAATTGAATGAGGTTGATTTGACCCCTGCGGTCCTACGAAATGGTACAGCTAGATTATCATATTCTTTGGTGTAGTTTTCATAAATTATTAAAATTGGTTTCTAGGTTTATAAAAGCTTATAGTTGAGTGAAAATTAAAATATTGTCTATAATTACACCCTGTAATATGACATATTACTTATTTCAAAATCTGTTAACATGGCAACTCAATGGAGGCCCCTGATTAGTTGAAAGTCTGATATTGTGGTCCCAGTTGCGTTAGAACATAGATCTTGTCTGGTTTTGAGGAAATTTCATATAAAGATGTACTAATGCATTCAGTTGTAATGACTTATATATAAAACCAGGTGAGCGATACAGGTCCAATGGACCTCTTGTTAAGGTCACCTGAGCTTTGCTTTAGGCAGAGGAGTGGGGCCCAATAGGGAAAATAGAGGGATTCAAGATTTTATCCTAATGTTGTCTCAAAGGGAAAATTTACAAATATTTCAAAAATCTTCTTCTCGAGATTTAGAGGTACTACAGTCAATTTCTGTGCATGAATGGAAAGATCATCACTGGCTGTAGGCTACCCAAGGAGTTGAGAAAGACAATGGCTGATTGCAAAGGCCCTATAACCTAAGAACCTTGAATTATTATATTAAATAATTCTATTTTTAATAAAAGAAGTATTCAATTATTTGATATTGAATTATCTGATATTCATTCATTCAGTTTTCAATATTCCATTATTCATTATGATAGGGACACTACGGGAAGGTGATGAAAGGCTACCTGAAGAGCCTTAATGAACGGATTCTGATAGCGGCCAAGTGTTTAAAGGGCAATGATTACACTTCAGTCCTCCAAAGTCGGGAATTCACGCATGAATCGGTGATGATGGAAAAGCTCAAACATTTCAACATCGTTCGATTCCACGGCATCTGTGACAATAGTAACTATGCACTTCATTACTTATTTGGGAACCATTTCATAAAGCTTTAAAACTTACAAAATGATGTAATCTAGTTTAAGTCAAGATGAAAAATTTCTAATAATGTCACAAAAACTCACATCTTTTCAAGTATATTCCCGTGTGTTTTTTTTATTAATTGACCTTCAAAAACTAGTCTAGAAAATCAAAAAGTGCTTCATTTTCTCTGAAAGAAGAAAGCAGGAGGAATATCTTCTCAATTCCAATAAAAAATATTTCAAGATTTTCCGGATTCATGTAGGAATAGGCTGCCATAAAGGAAGAAAATACACTGTCTGGAGCTAGTGACTTTAACTACAGGGCCCGGTTGTTCAAAACTATTGATACGCTAACAGTGTCGTTAACATTTTTACTATTTGGTAACGATAACAACTTCAGAAGCGTAACGATAGTCTTGACATGGGATGAAGGGCTACCAAGTTTGTTCAGATAAATGACCTTCACCCATATTCAAGGTCACAGCGATCTAATATGGTTAAAACTATAAACAATTTCTTCTGAATAACCAAAATGTCCAGGGTGGTGATATTTGGTCAATAGCATGCTGGGATAATTATTATTGTGCTACCAATTTTCTTAAAATAAATGACGGCCACCCATATTCAAGGTCACAGGGGTCAAATAGCTTAAAAACTTTAAAAAATTCTTCTAAATAACCAAAATGCCCAAGAATGTTGATATTTGAACCAGTATCATGCTTAGATGAAAGGCTTCCAAGTTTATTCAAATTAATGAACTTGAAATTATTCAAGGTCATAGGGGTGAAATAAGTTTAAAATCTTCAAACAACTTCTTCTGAATAATCATTAGGCAATGTTGATATCTGGCTAGTAGCATACTAGGATGAAGGAATACCAAGTTTGTTAAAATGAATGACCTTGACTTATATTTAAGTTCACAGGGGTCAAATATGTTTGAAACTTTTAAACAACTTCTTCTGAATAACCAAAACGTGCAAGACAATGGTATTTGGCCCTTATCATGACGGGATGAAGGGCTACCATGTTTGTTCAAATAAATGACCTTGACATTTATTCAAGGTCCCAGGGAATAAATATGTTTAAAATCTTCAAACAACGTCTTCTGAATGACTAAAAGGCCTAGAATGTTGATATCTGGCCTGAGTAGCATGCTGGGATAAATGGCTACAAAGTTTGTTAAAGTAAATGAACTTGACTTGTATATTTGTTTCAAGGTCACAGGGGTCAAATTTGTTTAAAATCTTTAAACGACCCCTTCTGAATAACCCTGAGGCCTAGAATGTTGACATTTGGCTAGTAGCATGCTTTGATGAAGGGCTATCAAACTTTGTTATTTTAATGGCCTTGACCCACTTTCAAGGTCACATTTGGTCAAATATGTATAAACCTTTAAATGACCCAATCTCAATAAACAGAAGGTCTAGGGTGGTGATATTTAACAAGTTGCATGCTGAGATGAAGGGCTATACAGTCTGTTCATTTTAATGACTATGTTCGACTTTCAAGGTCACATTTGGTCAAATAGATATAAAATCTTTTAACAGGTTCTTTTAATGACTTATAGTAATAAATACTGATATTTTGCTTGTAGCTTTATTTTAGATCACTTTTAAGGTTACAAGTATGAGATTGATACCAGGCGACACAGGCCCATTGGGCTTCTTGTTTTATCGTCGTATTGATGCTGAAATCTCGTTTTAAATTCTGACATCTCTGTCGTTTGAAGTGATCATTATGGAGTATGTTGACAACGGTGCTATGAGCGTGTTTCTAAGAGAACGGAGGAAATCTAATAACTACATGACCGCAGACAAACTAATGGCCATCATGCTGGACATTGCCAAGGTAACTCACTGTTTTTTAATTGAAATCATTCCAATGTACAAGAAAGGAACCAAGGGCATTATGGGTAATTTTCGGCCCAATAAAAGTAAAATGTTCATCATTTTGGTTGATTGGGGCTATCTTTTCTGGTATAGATGTTTCACTGGGCATGTGTAGATGCCAGGCTACCATAGCAACAAAATGACATTGCTATGCAGAGATAGCCAAAATATGGTGTTTTTGGACAGTAAGCATGCAAAAATGAAAGCCTTCACATTTGACAAAAAAAACAACTTTTCTACGAATGAACACTGGTATGACAATGTTCAAGTATGTCAAATTCTTATTTTGAAGGTGCATGCGGAGGCTTTCAAAACTTGAAGAGGGTCTAATTAACTTGTCTCAAAATGGCCAATTTTCGATGTTAATAGCACACAATAGACGATATTCACGCATTCACTATGAAAAATGCTGAATTCATACCTCTGTTTGTTATGCCATATATATATCCTATACTAGTTGTCGGATGAATTTGAAATTTCATATTTGCCTACTTCCTTTATTAGTTCTCTGGGCTATTTATAGCCCAGATACTATAGCAATGGATCTAAAATTCTTTCGGAGTTTTGCTTGTAATTGCATCAGTGATATAACTATATATGCATTTGTGGGAGAATCTTGTGATGCCCGATAGCAAGTTTAATACAATTGTTGTTCTGTTTTTTTGAAAATGTACTCAAAGTTAATTAGTACTCTTGCAATTAACTAAAATGTGAATTTTGACATGCTGAAAATAGCACTCACGCCAATTCACAGCGTGTGTAACATAGCTGGTAGCATCAGCTACACTGTGCGTGTATACGCAAGTCCAAAGAGGTGTGTATAAAAACATGTATTTGCATGATGAGTCGCTGTAATAAGATCTGATGGGAAAACATGCATATATAAACAGACTCATTTCAAGTTTTAAAAAAAATATTCATTGTTGAATCGTATAACAGGATCAAATTGAAGCAAGGTCTCTTGTTTCTGGGACCTGACAACAGGATTCTGCAGTTTCAGGCACTTCAGTCATTAGCCCAGAGAATGATGGGGCCCTTGGCCTCTTGTTCAAGATTACGAGTAAAACAACTAATTCTTAATCTCCTGGTGAGGTCATAAATTACCCTTTTACACCTTATATAAGGGAAAATGAAAGAAAAAAAAAATAATTCGGGAAAAATTTGATTATTTACACCTTATATAAGGGAAAATGAAAGAAAAAAAAATTAATTAGGGAAAAATTTGATTATTTCTCTAAATATGATGTATTCAAACTTTTTCCTGAATGGCTATTTAATTTTACCTTTTACTACACTTTTACAAATTGGCTACATATATCTGATAAATTTGATTCCAGAAAAGACACTGGATTACATATAAATCTTTCAGATGAATAATAGAATTTGAGAAAAATAAGTTCCATAAAAATATATATATATATATAGGTCTTAGTGACTCACTGTCCTCAATATGACCCAGGCTGTTGTGAGAACAAATGAACAAACTTAGTGATTCATTTTCATTTGCATAAAAAGCTGTCTAACTTTATCAAAATGGGTTTATTTTTTCTTGTTTTCATAGGGAATGAAATATATGTCTGACAAAGCGATCATTCACTCCGATCTAGCTGGGAGAAATATTCTGATGACAAAAGACCTTCATGCAAAGATCTCCGACTTCGGCCTTGCAAGACACTTGTCTGATGGGAAGGACTACTACCGTAGATCGAAGGAAAAGGAGCTGCCAGCATCATGGTGAGGAAACAGGAGACAACATTCTTAGAGGTTATCATATCAGCCCAAGGGGCTGGAGGCCTGAGTGTTAATATGGGTTGAGGGCTGCTACAGAGTAGGATATGGAGGTTCGTAGGTCATCTCAAAGCGGTTCACAAATTATTATCCGTGGTTATAGGGCCTTTGCAACCAGCCAATATCTTTCTCAACTCCCATAGAGGAGGTGCTGCCATTTTGGCGCTCACAGCTGGCATTCTACAATTCTAACACTGCCCAACCACGTACTCATTTACAGCTGAGTAGACTGGAACGGTTGGAGTGAAGTATCTTGTTTAGAGATACAACACAGTGCTGTGATGTGACTCGAACCCGCAACCCTTCGGTCACGATCATGGTGTCCTACCACTAGACTACCGTGCCTCCTAATCATATACAGTACTGCTCAATAACACATAAAACAGGCAGAAAATTGATACATCATGAGCTTAGCTACAATCACATTCTACCTTGAATAAAATACCATGAACAGAATACATATTTTACCAGTGATAAACTCATGCCTGGTAATAAACCCAGGCCCTACTTTTCCTTACTTTCTGTGCATAGACTGGTAGTAAGCCCATCCTTCTTTCTTCAAATTTGTTGGCGTCGGTAAAAAGAATATTTAGTATTTAGTACTTGCTCTGCTGGTTGTAGCTCCGTTGGTTTTTTATATCTGAGCCCTAGCTCTTTGTCATTTCAGGTGTTCCCCCGAGGGTCTGAGTACGCTAAAATTTACAACTCTCGGAGATGTGTGGAGTTATGGTGTTGTGTTGTGGGAGGCATATACACATGGCAGGCGACCAAAGTATGGAGAGGATTTCAAAAACATCGTCCAGCGTCTTCATGATGGGGAGCGACTCGAGCGACCTGATGGAGGACAGAGATGTCCGGATAGAGTATGGGACCTGATGAAGTGGTGTTGGAAATATATCCCACATGAGCGGCCATCATTTCAGGCAATTCAAGAAGAATGCAGGTCAGCAGCAGATTTACATTTCAGAATTCAAATTATTCAGATATAAAATTATACGTTTCTTATTTGATTTAATTCTTCTTTCTGGTCCCTGTTGTCGTGTACAGATGACAACAATAGGTACTTCCTGGTCCCCGTTGTCGTGTAGAGACGACAACAGTAGGTACTTCCTAATCCCCGTTGTCGTGTACAGACGACAACAATAGGTACTTCCTGGTCCCCGTTGTCGTGTACAGATGACAACAATAGGTACTTCCTGGTCACCGATGCCTTGTACAGATGACAAAATAGGTACTTCCTGGTCCCCGTTGTCATGTACAGATGACAAAAATAGGTACTTCCTGCCTGGTCCCCGTTGTCGTGTACAGACGACAACAATAGGTACTTCCTGGTCCCTGTTGTCGTGTAAAGATGACAACAATAGGTAATTCCTGGTCCCCGTTGTCGTGTACAGATGACAACAATAGGTGCTTCCTGGTCCCTGATGTCGTGTACAGATGACAACAATAGGTACTTCCTGTTCCCCGTTGTCGTGTACAGATGACAACAATAGGTACTTCCTGGTCCCTGATGTCGTGTACAGATGACAACAATAGGTACTTCCTGGTCCCCGATGTCGTGTACAGATGACAACAATAGGTACTTCCTGGTCCCCGTTGTCGTGTACAGATGACAACAATAGGTACTTCCTGGTCCCCGTTGTCGTGTACAGATTACAACAATAGGTACTTCCTGGTCCCCTTTGTCGTGTACAGACAACAGAAATATACACAACTAGAGACTTTGGTGTTACCGGTCTGCTGCTTAGCTGGTTAAAGCACACATCAGTTCATGGTTACCTGTTTATGTCTCACAGTCGTTACACCTCGGCTAAAAATACATTTGTAATTTGCCGTTTTGTGATATGTGCGGAGTTGGGTTTAGTCTAAACTGGGGTTGCGGTACGTCAAGCGTTCATTTAATATTGTATTCTGTACACACAAAGTTCTTTACCTCATTCAGATTTACGCTAACATGGAACAGTTGCTGTGAAGGTCATATACTTAAAAAAGGTTAATACTGATATCTTTACTTAAGATGTTTGTCAGTTTGTCTGGACTTGAGTTGTGAAAAATTTCTTTCAACTTCTTACATTCCATGAGTGAAAGACACATGATATTTGTCTTGTGGCAATGAAGACCTATGATGAAGTTTGCAATAAATGGCCTTGACCCACATCAAATAAAAGGAGTCAAATATATTAGAAATATCTCATTTTAAAAACGAAGTGACCTAGAGTCCTGATATTTGACCCCTATCTTTCTAAATAAATGAGATATTAACTTTGCAGAAATAAACCACATTGACCCATATTAAAGGTCACTGGAGAAAAATAAATGAAAACATTTTAACTACTTCTTAAGAATCAGGAGACCTGTATCCTGATATTTGTTCTTTAGCTTACTCAGGTGAAGGCATATCATGTTTGTAAAAATAAATGACCTTGACCCATATTCAGAGTCACTGGAGTAAAATAAATAAAAACACTTAAACTATAGAATCAGGAGAGATGTATGTTCAAATACTTGTCCTGTAGGTTATTCTTAGGTGAAGAAGAGATATCATGTTTGCAAAGATAAATGATCTTGATCCATATTCTCTCATAATCACAGACTCGAGTAAGTGAAAACATTTTTACAGCATCTACTTCTTACAAACCAATTGGCATGTAGTCCAGATATTGGGTCTTTAACTTATTAGCGTAAAGAGATCTAATATTTGCAAAATCATATTTTTTATGTATACTCACATTCGAGGTATAATAAGTGAAAATATATGAATAACTCGAGGTTGCCAACCTCTAAGGAGTCCAGTGTGGGATATCTCCCTCCACTGGGGTTTCCTCAAATGTGAGACTTTTGACGGCTTCGCGGCCTCACGTCATTTCGGGTGTTGAGATATCATTTACTTATGTATCAAACAAATCCTGGCTTTCTCTGACTACTATAACATCTGCGTTGTTGATCTTTTCACTTCAGGATCTTGGTAGGAAATAAAAACAAAACATTTTTTGCAGATATGTACATGTATTAGATTTTTGTTTAGTTAAATTTAAACTTCCGTTTCACCCTTTTACCACTGTAGACCATAATGAACACCTACATAATATCAATACATGGCATAGTCTACTAACGGTCCACTGGGGTGAAAGGGTTAAGAATCAAGAAGTATGCATTCCTGATATTTGTTCTGTTGCCTTCCAAGATAAAGATATCGTGTTTGCAAAATAAAAAAGACAATTGACCCTTTTTCAATGCTTAAGATTAAAATAAATTAATGAAGGCATTAAACAAATTCTAACAGAGATCCAAGTGATATGAAGTCCTGAAATTTGAGTTGAAGAATAACAGGAATCGACCATCAAATTGTTCCATTACAATTTCCAGTTTTAATTTTCCCTCTGAACTATTGCTATCATCTGTGACTTGCTGTCTGTATCTATATTTTCAGTGAACTATTAGAGGCATTGAGATCACAGACTGGAGTTGAGGAGACACAAGCCAATCCCAGTTTACTGGAGCCTGTCACAAGAGGACGTACAGTTTCACCTCCTAACATTGGGATTACCTCCCCTGAACCAAAAAAAAGCACTCCTACCTCCCCTGATGTCATCAGACCTACTTTCCCTGAGCCTGCTAGACATTCTCCGAGTGACAGAGTTACCCCCCTTGGTACATCCTCTCCGGTCAGTCCAATTAGTCAACCATTTAACAGAGAACTACCTAGAAAACCCAAAGATGATCTACATTTTCTGATTTCCCAGTCGGAGCTGCAGGTGATGAAAGATGTTGTACTTGGACAGGTGGGTAATATGATACCAGGTAAGCTGCAAAACCCTAGATTCTAGGTCTGATCAATTTAAATTTAATTTGAAATTATTGATATTTTAATCTGAAATTTTTATGTTATTGGTCCGATATTAAAAAAAAAAAAAAAAAAAAATCGGTTCTAGAAGTTATGGTTCCCGCAGCTAAACACCAAGTTAGTATGAACTGATCAAGATATTTATTTGATTTTAGAAGTAAGTCTTAAATATTTTCAGTCTTCACTGACATTAACTCATCATCAATGCCGCTGTAAATTTGAGTTTTTATCTCATGACCTGACCTTAGAACGTGACAAGTTTCCATGACATTGACAACTAAACATGTGGTGGAAACATTCAAATTTTCCGCTCACAAGACACAATTGTGGGATATTTTTCTTACATAAAATTTAGATTGATCAATAAAACCGTATGTTTTGGTTTGAGATGAATGACTTAACTGTACTGACTTAACCCTTTCACCCCTATGTAACTTCGATAAACTCTACCATGGATTAATTTGGATAAGTCCATTACAATCCACAGTGGTGAAACGAGTATTTTTCTTTCATTCCAACTATCAGAATAATCTCAGAAACCATGAAAATATGTTTGGATTGGCTACCATTTTGAAAATAACAATTTTCCCCGGAGCTTTTTAGCTCACTTGGCCCGAAGAACAATATCTTAGAACCCTATGGTCTAGAGTCATGATACTTGGGTATGTTATGTAGACCAGCTGTGCGAATCATTTTCCTCATAACAGTAATGAGGCCAAAGGTCAACTTTAAGTGCTAGCCGGAGTCAAAGGTCAACGAGGGTTAAAAGCTTTAAAATTGAAAGTTCAAATTTCAAACAATATCTTAAGAACCGTTTAAGGTCGCAGTACAAAATACTGGTATACACATACAAGGCACTGAATGGAACAGCTCCTCAGTACCTACAGGAACTTGTTACCCTGTATCAGCCGTCAAGATCACTGCGGTCGGGGTCAGAATCTTGTTGTGTGTCCCAAAATCTCGTACTGTGACCTACAGAAACAGATGCTTTGGGAGGGTTTCGGCTACGTTGTGAAATAGCTTACCATCTGATATTAGGAGTCGAATACCCTGTCCAAGTTCAAGAGGGACATAAAAACTCACCTCTTCACGTCTGCATTTTATAATCTTTGCAAAGACGTAATGTAAATACCACCCTTTTATTTGTTTAATTATGTGCACATTGCTTGTTAAATGCATGAAAGTGATTGCAAGCCTTTGTTGTTTGTTTTCACAATTATAACCATTACTATTATCCATATGTTGTAAAGCGCCTTAGAGTAATTTTACAAATTATATAAGGCGCTATATAAATGCTGTATATTATTATTATTATTATTAAGGGATGTTAAAATGTCTTACGTTTTAGTTACCAAATTTGGTCCAAAATTACCTATATGTCAGTTTCATATAAGAAAAGAAACAGGTGAGCAATACAGGCCGTCTGGGCCTCTTTTTTTGAAGAAAATGAATCTGTCAGTGAGATTAAGCATACCTCATATATGCAAACATAGTTTGCTCAGAAATATTAATCTTATCTTTCTAACATGTACAGTAAAAATAGATTGTAAAAGGCTTAGATTTTATCACGTCACATGAAATGGGGTGTAAGGTAGAAGTTTCTTACATCCCTTCCTTACCCTGGACAGCTCTATCTTACCCTGGACAGGTCTATCTTACACACACGGAAATGAGAGAAATGCTTCTACATGTCCCATTCTTAACCCTTTCACCACTGTAGACCAAAATGGACTCATCAAGATCAATGCATGGTAGAGTCTACTAAAGTTACATAGGGGTGAAAGAGTTAAACTGGGTGCATCAGATTACCTCAGTTAAACCCTACTAAATCAAACCGTCCTCCCTAAATAATAATGGTCTTTCTCTGTGAGAGAACTATCTATACCTGTTTAATTTGAATTACCTCAGGCCCCAACTTCAATTTTAACACTAACACTTAATAAGCTGTAGAAATTTCACAAATTTTCACGTTTCTGAAAACACCCTTTTATGATTAACAGGGGGAGTTTGGCTGTGTGTACAAGGGAAGATACAAACAGAAAGATGTCGCGGTCAAGGTCATAGAGGAAGGTTGCTTCCAGAAACGCAATCATGACTTGTTTTGGGAGGAGGTGGATGTTTTTGGAAGAGCGTCACATCCAAATATTGTCACATTTGTTGGATTCATCAGAGATGGTAAATTTACGCACTTGTTTAATAAATGAAATAATAATTAATTTTTAAAAAAATGTTTTTTATGATGTGTGGCTCAACAATTTTATTTTCAAATTATTTCAAATAAAACGGTTTATTAAATGTAGGAATTATGCCATGTAAGTTATGTGACTATTGAGGAAGGGGAACAAAACCAACCTTCCTTAAAAGGTAAGTGATATAAAAATTATTATGCAAAAAAGTGCCATGATACAAAAGTTGGTGGAAATAAGTCATTAATGATAGATTCTGTTCATCAATCATACAAGAAAATTTCAATTTGTTTATCAAATTATCGAAAATTGGTAGAATGTGTTTTTAAAAGATCAGTTCGTCAAACAAGAGTGGGAGATTTTATTCATCCATCAAAAATCATAGAGTCTGTTATGATTGATTAATTTTTAATTAGAATCAAATACTAATTAATCTGTGGCATTCATATTAAACTATTATTTGTTCAGCCCACTTCCTCGTGATGGAGTTTGTTCCGAAGGGATCCTTGTCAGCCTATCTATCGCTGTGCAGTGCTGGCAAGGAAACTCTCTCCCTTCGACAGAACCTCGGAATCATGAACGATATTGCCTCGGTAAGTTTGAACATATGCAGTATTGTTGGTGTCGAAACATTTGCAGAAGTTACTTCTTAATAGCAATTTATTGGTATTCATGTGAAGTTATGTAAATGTAGATCTACTCAACAGTGTGTGTATCTAGTCATACTTTTGTGATAATACCCAGCCTGTTCGAGCTTGTCGTTCAGGTTCATTGAAAATTGATAGGCTTTAAATCATGTATGTTGATCAAGGGTGTGGTTCCGATTTATAATGTTTTCGCCGTAAAAAGGGGGGTGGCATAGCTAGAGTGTTGTATATGCCCTTACCTATCCCGTCCTGTCACGAATCAATGTAAACAATCAAGCAACTTCATTCTTTGACAGATTTTCATCAAATTTTATACAAATGGCAAAAGTATGAGAATACCTCTGATCCATCTGTGATTGAGGGTTCAAAGGTCACTGTCCACTTACTGTATACAGAAAATCATCAACTTATTTAGTGTCCTCAGATTTCTCTCAAAAGTTATACAGATTTCAAGTATGAGGATATCTCAGATGGGTTAATGTTTCAGGTTTCCAAGGTCAAGGCCAAGGTCACCATTGCTATTTATAGAAAATCATCAACTTATTTAGTGTCCTCAGATTTCTCTCAAAGTTATTCAGATTTCAAGTATGAGAATACCTAAGATAGGTTAATGTTTCAGGATTCCAAGGTCAAGGCCAAGGTCAAGGCCAAGGTCACCATTGCTATTTATAGAAAATCATCAATCAATTCAGTGTCATCAGTCTACCAACTTTATTTCCTGATGAATGTTGATCAAAATTTATGCAAAGGTCAAGTATGTTAATTATACCTCACACATCTTTGTGTTGCAGGGTTCAAAGTCAAGGCCAAGCTCATGCATCACTGTTGCTATATATAGAAATTCATAAAACGAGTCATCATGGAAGTATGATGATACCTTGAATGTTTATATATTTCAGTGTGTCAAGATCAAAGTGGTTGCAACTATTTATAGGAAATTATTATAAACTGAAACAACGCCGAAAATAATTTTACATGGCAGCAGGGGGCTTTCATGACTTATAGACATTTTCTAGTGTGTTTTTCAGCAGGGAGAGACTTCAGAAATATTGATGAACAGAGGATATGTAAGTACATGTGACTTACAGTTCGGCTTATATTTTACAGGGAATGAAGTATCTTGTCCAAATGGATATAATCCATTGTGACTTGGCCGCAAGGAATATCCTCCTCATGGACAACATGATGGCAAAAATCTCGGACTTTGGACTCTCTAAAGTCTTGAGTAAAGGCAAGGATTACTATTGCCGTGGCAACAAAAAGAGGATGCCATGCTGGTGGTGTGTACAATTTATTTGTTCAATGTTCCTGTCCCTGGCTGGCTGGGAAGCTTTTGCCCATCGCCAATAAAATCCACTACTGCCCAATGTTAATTTTGCCCCTTTTAATTGCTATGTATATCATGTTGTGCTGCAGAGACTTTTGCTACAGTTTTTAGCTCACCTGGTTCGAAGGACCACAATGAGCTGATGTAATACCGAAGCGTCCGTCATCCGTCAACTTTTTAGGTCACCTGAGACAAAGTCTCAAGTGACCTATTGCGATCACCTTTTGTCCGTCGTCGCCCGTCGTCTGTCACGTGCGTCCGTAAACAATTTACATTTTCGACTTCTTTTCCAAAACCCCTGAACCATTTTCAATGAAATTTTGCGGGGACCTTCCATGGACAAAGGGCAACAAAAATAGTGGCCGGTTTAGCCCCAAGCCCCCAGGGGCCTGAGGGGCAGGGCCAAAAAGGGTCAAATTGACTAAAATTTCAAAAATCTTCTTTTCCAAAACCCCTGAACCAACTTCAATGAAATTTTGCAAGGACCTTCCATGGACAAAGGACAACAAAAAGAGTGGCCGGTTTAGTCCCAAGCCCCCAGGGGCCTGAGGGGTGGGGCCAAAAAGTGTCAAATGGACTAAAATTTCAAAAATCTTCTTCTCAAGACCCAGATATGGTAGAATCAAATACTCTTCATATATGGACGGGTCTTAAGGTGCTTTACCAAAATTGTGAATTTCTTGACCCTGGGGTCTCGCTATTACCCCTGGGGAGGGGGTAAACTTTACTATAGTTTATATAGGGAAATCACATTTTGGACCAACATTTGTTTAATTTCCATTGGGAGTAATTCAATTTGGGTTAGAATTATCAGTATTAGGTAGCAGTTTGATAATAAGCACATATATGAGCCCTGACTGACCCCAGGGGCTGATGGTTAGGGCCAAAAAGGGTCGAATTTACTGAAATTTCAAAAATCTTCTTCTCAAGACCCAGATATGGTAGATTCAAATACTCTTCATAGATGGAAGGGTCTTAAGGTTTATGACCCTAGGGTCTCACGTTTACCCCCTGGGGAAGGAGGGGGGGGGGGCAAAAATTATTATGGTTTATAATGGCAAATGATACTTTGAATATTACATGTTAACTCATTGACCCCTGAAATTTCACAATGAACTATTCCAACCTTTGCATTGGAAGGGTTCAAATGTGTCTTCAGGGGTCAATGAGTTAATAACTTGATTGGATTTATAACCTTGAGTTGACAGTTTGATACTTCGAAAATTTTGAGCCAGCCCTACCCCCAAGGGCTGTAGGGTTGGGCTCAAAGGAGTTGGTGTGCTAAAATTTCTTCATTTTCCTTGTTTAGAATCAGAGGTGCTAGTTTCAAATCCTTTTTAGTCTGAAATCTGTATGCTAGATATTGAATAAGGTGGTTTTATTGTTTTTTGACACTTTGAATAATATTTCTGTTCATGTTAAAAACAAAATCAACTCTCTGTATAAATATATCAGGTGACCGTTAAGGCCCATGGGCCTCTTGTCTTTTAAAAAAACTACTAGTCCTGAACGGCCAAGTAGATTTTGACTTTTGGTCTGGAGCATCCTTAGGCCAAGGGGACTCAATTTTGTATAAATGGTGGGTGAGTCTCCAATTGGGGCAGAGGGGCAGGGCCCAATAGGGGAAATGAAGGTAAAACCTTTAAAATCCTTCTTCTACCATATGGATAAAGAAATTTCATCCTTATTTAGTCTGGAGCATTCTTGGTCCAAGGGGACTTAATTTTGTGTAAACGGTGGATGTTGCCCCCCTAAGGGCTGTGAAGTTGAAGTTAGTAAGTCGGAGTGAGTGTGAGAGGTAGGACAGAATAGGAAAATAGAGGTAAACTTTTGAAATCCTTCTTCTACCGTAGGGATAAGGGAATTTTATCCCAGTTTGGTCTGGAGCATCCTTTGGCCAAGTTTGGACTAAATATTGTTTAAACGGTGGGTGTGGCCCTTCTTGGGGCAGAGGGGTAGGATTGAATAGGGGAAATAGAGGTAAAACACTTTGAAATCCTTCTTCCATCATAGGGATTAAGGGGTTTTGTCCCAATTTAGCCGGGATCATCCTTGGGCAATTAGTGGACTAAATTTTATATAAATGAAGGTTGAGACCCCTTTGAGTGCTGCAGAGTTGCGGGGCCAAATAGGGGAATTCAAGGTTTAAATCTTTAAATTCCTTTTTCTTCTGTATCATTGAAGGTATTTTATGTAATAGGAATAATTTCCCATGGTTACTTTATTATCCAGGTGAGCGTTACAGGCCCTCTGGGCCTCTTGTTTTTAAGTAGTAAAGTTAATTGTGATGTGATTTGTGTTGGCACAGGAGTGCTCCAGAAGTACTCCTCTATCTGAGGCTCACACACGAGAGTGACGTTTGGAGCTACGGCATTGTCGCATGGGAAATCTTTACACAAGGAGAGACCCCGAACATATGTGAGGTTGGAGGCAAGGAAATCAAGGACTTGATTCACATTGGACTAGAACACATGAGGAAAGGTTTCCGTCTGAAGAAAGAGAAAACGAAAAATTGTCCTGATGATGTTTTTGAGCTGATGTTGAAATGTTGGGCTTGGGAGGGTAAAGATCGCCCACAATTCTCCTTCATTCATGAGCAGTGTTTGTAAGTGTTATAAATGCAGCACTCATTGCCTTATTTGTGCATAGAAGTGTTTTATTTCAGTTGAGTCCACGCATCACTTAAAATTTCCCATTGATGATATCAGTAAAATCAGTGATAGCTACCTCTATTGACATTTAACGCATTCACCCCTGAAGACACGTTTGAACTCTTCCAATTCAAAGGTTGGAATAGTTCATTACGAAATTTCAGGGGTGAATGAGTTAATGTCAGTTTTGGTACATGTATATGTATGATAAGTAACGTGTCCATGTTAACGCCAGTGACGGCAAATTTATCTTTAATTAGTGACATTAAAAGTCAGTGACGGTATATCTATCTTTAATTAGTGACATTAAAAGTCAGTGACGGTATATCTATCTTTAATTAGTGACATTAAAAGTCAGTGATGGTATATTTATCTTTAATTAGTGACATTAAAAGTCAGTACTACAAACATGTATATATAATTTCACTTTTAAACATTTATCAGTACATCTGCCTGGTCCTTTTAAATCTTAAACAACCACATCGTCAATAAGATTCGTCTGTTTGGAAATATGTAGTATCAAAGATTAAATTTTTACACTAACCATGTACATATTAAACATGTCGCAATGTTTCGAGACCGCGACCGGTCCATTTGTCAAGCTATGAGGTCAATGGCCCCTTATCCAGTTTGACCAGTTGAAACCTTTGAACCTGAGAGAAAAACGACAGGCGCAGATCTGAACCGAGACTGACCTCAGAAATATTCGGCATGTGTAGATTGAGGGGTCCTGACGTGCCTGACCAAAGCTATTGATAGTTTATGTTATTTCTTTATAAAACAAGGTCAATCAATGTGTAGATTTTTATATACGTTATATAATTTAGTGGACGCTTGACAGAAGGACACGTTATTATTGATTTATTGTTATTTATTCTCCGCGAAACTGTGCATTTTTTAAGCTCTGCCTACAGTTCGGTCCAAGTGCGTTCGTTTATTGTGTGGAATACTTCTGTGCCACTTGAACCATTTCAACTGGGATACCATACACGAATGCAACCTAAGTTTCAAGTCTGACTGGTCCCTTTGTCCGGCTATGACTGAAAGATTGTGACACGTTTAATACATGCATGGTTTGCTGGCGACCTATGACCTCTAGTTCACATGTGACCTTGACCTCTATACAGGCAGATTTATGTCTGTTAACCTTGGACATGTAAATGATTTATTTCTAATATGTTCGAAATAACTTCACTGAATTTTTTTATGCAAAATTACAAAAACAGTTTCCTTAATCATTAAGATTTTTGGAAAACAGATATACCACCTTGTTGTTAACTTAAATGAGAATTTATATATAAAATAATGTTGTTTTAATATGATTAAATTTTTCTTGTAGAAATTTTCTGAGCAAGTACGGAGAAACCATTCAACAGTAGTGAAAGCAGTATAAAGATGATTTCTTGTGGGAAATTATATCAATTCCAACAACAATGACTTAACATAGGAAGATGATATCTTCTGGGGAAAACATTATCTCTGCAGCGCTTGGCATATAAACAGGAAATACAATTTGAACTGTTTCAGTGGTTGTAAGATATTTCATATTCCATTTTACCGCTACGTGATATGTCAATCAGAGGTCTTCAGTATGGTGTATAATTTACTTTGCTATAATTCTTGCCTAATAGAAGGTGACAAAATCAAAATATCATTGTCATATAATCATGAATGCAATTAGATATTCTTTAACAATTCGGTAATATTACTTTTTGATGTCATAAAATATGTTGTAGCGGAACTGGACTGGGTCGATCACCGGCGTCCAGGTAGCTAAACTGTCTAGAGTTTAGAGGGTTCCTGGTTCGAACCCCGGTCTAGCTGTTGCGTTTCTCTTCCTCCTGTTACTAAATTGGCGAGCTGGCCAACCTTTGTTTCAAGCAATGGGTAAACGCTAAGCAAGGGGATACCCGAACTTGGGTTGTAAACAGTGTAATGTCATCGGGGGCGAAGATTTTGGAGAAAGGAGAGAGGAATGTAGCGAAACTGGACTGGGTCGATCGCGGGCGACCAGGTAGCTCAATTGATTAGAGCGTCCGTCAGAGGGTCCCGGGTTGGAACCCAGATCTGGCTGTTGCATTTCGCATTCTCCTGTTACAATGTACAATTTGGAGGTGTTCATGGATGATTAGAACCATACGACCTAGGGTTATGATATTCATCAGATAAGCTACCTCAATCTGTACTCAAGTTCTGAGGTCAGATGTGATAAAATCTTCAAGCCACTATTTTCTAAAGAACCAAAGGGCAAAGAGTAATGATATTTGGCCAGTGGCTTACTAGGAGTATATGTATTATCAAATTTGTTCAAGTAAGTGACCTTGATCTTCAGTCAAGTCCTAGGGGTCAATATAATCAAATGTTTGAATTAATCCTTTTTTTAAGAACCACAAGCCACTAAAACTGTCATCCTGTAGCTTCCTGGGATGAAGGGATCGTATGTTTGTTCAAATAAATGGCATGGACTGATATTCAAGGTCACAGATTGCAAATGGTGAATTACTTCAAGTATTTTTTTCGAGCCTGAAAGCATTAAAATATGTTTTTCAGCATCATTGAGTAACATGTGAGTGATGCAGGCTCCTTGGGCCTCTTGTGTGCCATACAGTATTTGAATTCATAAATATTTATATTTAAATTTGTTTTATTAACTGAGTGTGTTAAGTTTGCATTATGGTAATACTGAGTCCACTCTATGGATGCCGTCGTTGTGAACAGTTTTGAACTTGGTTACCTTCTTATATCATACTTATAACCCTTTCACCCCTATGTAACTTTAGTAGACTCTACCATGCATTGATCTGGATGAGTCCATTATGGTCTACAGTGTTGAAAGGGTTAATATTAACTTGGGGGTCAGTGTATCAAAGCTATACTTTTAATATTAACTTTGGGGTCAGTGTATCAAAGCTATACTTATAATATTAACTTGGGGGTCAGTGTATCAAAGCTATACTTTTAATATTAACTTGGGGGTCAGTGTATCAAAGCTATGATTCTTATTCGTCCATCGAAAGATGGAACGTATGATGCTATTACGTGAGCGGGTTTGTGGCACATTGTTGGCTCAATATATCAACTAACTTTCAAAGGATTAACTTCAAACTTCATTGGAAGGGTCCTTACCATGCGAGCTAATTTTTGTAGCTACAACTATAGTTTACATTTTTGTAGTGGTCAAGACACTGACTAAATCATTTTTTTTATGTTTAAAACTGTTGAGATTTATTTCTCTTAGAGTTTGGCACATCTAAGTCAAAGTGTGTAACAAGAAGTCATAGCAGGTATGGAGTGCAGATGACATGACACCATGATAGGTCAAGGACTAGTCATTTATTAACTTCAAGATAGGAGAGTTCCAATCAAGTTGACAATACATTACACCTGGTATTGTTTAGTTTCATAGCAACAAGGGTAAACGTCATGTATGCATGCTGCTTTATTACATAATATTCAGAATCATCAAATCTATACAGCGAGCAACCACAATGTAAACATGTAATATATATATACTAACGAAATCATTGTTTTTGTTTCTAGCTTTTTTTAACTGTCTTTATAGTTAAGGAACCATTTGTAAAAATGATGCGATTTTTTTGAACTATCTCTGTATAATGCATGTTTTGAAATATTCTAGGTCTTCTAGGGTATGTGTAGCAAACTTGGTCGTTGATAACGACTTTGGCCGAAGGTCAGTTGGCGTTTACAATAGTTTGATGTATCATCAGTTTACACTGGTGGTCTGACAGTGTGTTAATACAATGTACCTAGTCAAGTTTTTTTTATAAATTTAACAAAAACTATTAAAAAAATCAAATGGGAATACAGTATACCAGGAAATTTTTGCCCAGGGATCAAACTTTCGCACTTCCCCCATGATATAGATTTCTACCCCGAGTTAATTTCGACCTTCACATTTAATTACTAGGTATCTTATGCCGGTTATATAATTACGTACATGTATATTTGCTGTAATGACAAATTCTTCTTCATTACGCAGAGCAAAAAAAGGTGAAAATAAAACTGCAGTGAAATTTTTCCAGTATACAGTACTGAAGTCTGTTGTAAGTTTACGAATGCAGAATAGTCATGTGATAGGTGAAAGTTCACTTGTAACAAACAGATTGGATTTTTTTTTTTTTTATGTATATTTCATACTGATCACATGAAAAAAATCTGTAGATACATGTATACATTGATGTAATACAAAAAATCATCCAAAGTCTTTGTGATGTTTGAATATAAAATTAATGACAAAAAAAAATCTTTTACATTGATGTATATATATTTTGTGGGGGGGGTTTCTGTGTCTCAATAAAGGTAGGGACTGCTCCGAAAATTTGACATCATCATATTGCCAACACTGTAAGATTGACTTCCTTGCCCCATATTTATATATATATATATATATATATGGAATCATCAATTTGCTGACATAATGTTATTATACAGTTAGAGTATGGGGTTGAGGGATATAGCAAGTTTCTGGTGTCCCAAGACCAGGTCTATTTCCCGAGGCGAAGCCTCGGGAAATAGGCATGGTCAAGGGACACCAGAAACTTGCTATATATGCCTCAACCCCATACTTTAACCGTTTTCTTATACCGATACACACTGGAGAGATAGTTTTAACTAGATAATATTTGTAAACCATAAGCTGTATAGCTTCACGTCCCAAATACTCTTTTGATGGCAATGGAGCCAAATGCTTACGAGTTGGGCAGCAACCCCATACGTTAATTTTATTATACCGATACACACTGCAGAGATAGTTTTAACTTGAAAATATTTGTAAACCATAAGCTGTATAGCCTCACGTCCCAGCTACCCCTTTGATGGCAATGGAGCCAAATGCTTCGGAGTTCGGCAGCAAGCTCCGCCCACCTCGCGCGTCACTGCCGAGTTCGGTAACAAGCTCCGCCCACCTCTCGCCTGATTGGCTCGGCGGAAACACCCGAGTGTAGGTGTGTTTTAGTTCACAGACTAACACACAGGACTAAAACACACTCAGGCAAAAGTGGGGATATATTCGATTTAACCAATTACTTTTATATAGAGTAAATAAAGTAGAGGTGTAATAAACAGTTATATGTATTGTCACAAACAGTTATGTAACATGAAACAATGCAATAACCTTATTTTGATTTTTTTTTTTTTTTTTTTTTTTTGAAAAACAGAAATATTTTTATGTTTCCCTTGATTTTATGCTAAATTGGTATTGTTTCACCTTAAGATACAGAAGCGTATATATATGATGGATAATTATACCTCTACTTTATTTAAACTATACAAAAGTAACCATATAAACAAGCTATTTCCCCTCTAACTGCATGCCAGGGAAATAGCTCGTCTGGAGGGGTGCAATAGTTTTGAAACTATATCCCTCGGGAAATGGGGGAAATTGAGTGACGTCGTGGGCGGGGCCTGACCGAACAGTGACCTTTTCCTTTTTTTATTCTTTTTTAAAAAGAAATATTGTTGTTTCCCTTGTTTTTATGCTAAATTGGGATTAACATCCGTTCCAGTCTCAACTCCCTCTATTGTTTCACCTTAAGCAGGGACAGTACATACTCCATAATACGTCCCTGCCTTAAGATACACAAACATATATATATATGATAGACTATATTTATATAGATACATTTCAATGCAATTTTATGAAGACTTTGTGTATCGTTTAAAGAAATGCTGACTAAAAAATCACCAAGAAGGCAAATATAGTCATAAGAATTAATCGCCTGAAGATGTTGGCAATGCTTGAAAACGTTAGTAGCGAAAATCAGTTATATTAGCCTTGTTGATGATTTCTTAGCCTGCTTGGTATATACCTACATGTATATATATATATGAACAATAACTGTGAATATATGAAATATACCTCGATGAATTTCACAAAGTTGAGATACATTATCATCGAATTTATCCTCCAGTAAGGGACGGAATGGGTAAACATGGGTAAACCCGTCCCCCTGAGTGCCTGCAGTATTATATTTAGAGTCGGTTGGGTGGATTGATTGTCTCTATGAATTTTGACAGCTGACCTATCCCTTTCACCCTTACACCAAAATTGGACTCTTCCAGATAAATGTATATAGATAAATGTATATAGAGTCTACTAAAGTTTCCTAGGGTTGAAAGTGTTAACTGATTCGGCACACTGTTGCTTAGCGAATTAATTTCGGCCGTTTAGAGTGGAGACTACGGTCATTTAATTCTTTGTTTGACAAAGGAAACAGACGTTTTCGAAAGCTCGCAAAATAATTGTTGAACTCCTGTTTGTTTGAACAAAACAAACTTAGCCTTTATTATTCATATCAAACTGATGAATCTAAAAATGAATTCTGTCTGTATTCCAAAGAGTGTATCTATCATTACTGTATGATAAACGGGTTTTTTCGTTATATGAAACTCATATGCAATATTGAGGAGGCACGGTAGTCTGGTGGTAGGACACCGGCTCGTGACCAAAGGGTTGAGTGTTCAAGTCACGGCACGGCACGGCACGGCACTGTGTTGCATCTTTGAGCAAGATACTTTACTCCGCTTGTTCCAGTCTACTCAACTGTAAATGAGTACGTGTTGGGCAGGGCTGGAATTGTTGAATGCTTGCTGTGAGGGCCGAAATGGCAGCACCAGCTGTATGCTCCTAAGAGAGTTGAGAAAGGTATTGGCTAGTTGCAAAGGCCCTATAACCACGGATTATAATTTGTGGACCGCTTTGAGATGACTAGTACTAATATTAATACCCGGCCGGGTATTCTGACGGCGCAATATATAAAAAAAAAACTCTCGTCGTCAAAAAGCTACGTTATCGCAGCTATGAGACGACCTACGAACTATGTTGTGATAAAGTGGTATATAAGAACCTCAAATTATTATTATAACTGGAAATTTTGAGAATTGAATTATCATCATTATCATATAATCCAGACAAACTTTAATC